CTTCCTTTCAACCAGCATCTCATTTCGTAGCGTAATATTATTTTGCACAATAATTTTTCTTGTTTCCTAGTAGCCGGCAGGTAGCTTACTGGAAGGATGCCCATCCGTTACCGGTAGCTTAGCTGACTTACACCTGTTGCATTTTATTCCCTTTTTTCTTTTAGGTATTGCGGTACAGTAGCTGAGGTGCTTCACACCACTGGGTAATGTGTATAGTAGTGATGATGATGGTGATTGTATTGCAGCACCGTAGCTGCAGTGCATTGCGCGCCTTCAGCTATCATGTATTGATGATGATGACTCTCCACCACTTCATAAATGACTATTGCATGTTATTCTCATGCATCTAGTCACAGCAGTAGATCTAGTTGCACCGCTGTCGAATTGCGCCTCCTTACATATCTGGTGTGAGCTTCGTAACTATACATTGCTGATATCATTTATACATCGTTCTACTTCTACTCACTGCGGAGTTTTCGTTTTTTTACGTATTATTTTATTGTTTGTTCAGCCGAACCGATTTCGTGGTCACCAGTGCTGACTTCTTTTGAGAGTCTGTGCTTGCGTCACCTCTCATTTAATATGGCCACCAAATAAGAAGTACTTTTTGGAAATGCCAAGCAAAATATGAGTGAATAAAGGAACCTTGCTGGTTGACGGGCTGGTTTCAGTCTTTGTCCTATCAACAAAGCACAAATTCCGCTGATCCTACTAACAATGTGTTATTGCCTGTCGCCCAAATTACTGATCTCAAGCACATTTTTCATAAATAGGGCTTGTCACTGCAGGTATTTTGTTACGAAAATGTTGATTGAAATCTGATATTAAGACAGAATTGTTATACTCGATGGCTATCCTCATATTAAACCTAATCGCCTATGAAAACCCGTGTTACGCGTTGATGTCACCTCTTAAATTGGCGAAGATTAGTTTAGATTTTTTTCATAGCTGCCTAGGTACTCAAGAACTTAAATAAGCTGCAGTGCGTCCGAATGCAAAGCAACGTTATTGAGTGGTTTCCCATCTATCATTATCAGGAATGTTCATGTAGCACCTGACGCACCACTTAGAATTAACAGCGTTCGACGATCACTTAACCTCGCAGTTGCAAATAAAGCTGGAGCTTGAGGAAGCGATTGAGGTTATTATTGTCAACCAAAGGACGAAGCTGCGAAATTCGGTTTCGAAAAATTAAAAGGGGAGAAACCCAGGACGTTATTTCTAACCAAACGTGAAAGGTGTGCTATCAACTTATCCTCCTTGTCGTTTTCTCCTTGGGTCCCAAGTTCTGCATTTCTAACAAGCGATATTAGGTCAGCAATGGAAGCTTAGTCTGCAATGTATTCTCGCAGGTCTCACAACAATCGCCGTGCTCCAATTTACACTTATATGAGTTTAAATCATCGCCAATGCATGTCTGGTATTAATTTCCTCGTGTCCGGTTAACACAACAATCCAGTAACGGATAAGCACATTCAAGCTTTGATTCGTGTTGTTAGTGATGGTGAGATCTTGTTTTCTGGACCGGATAAAGGCTCTTGTACTGTCATTCCGAACACATTGGACTACCTTACTAGAATGAACGATATACTGGCGGAGGCGACATTTTTCGAATCCAGCGGACGACAGACGTGACAAAGCAACCCGAGAGCCAAATCTGCAAGTGGCTCATGAATCCCAAAAACAAGGGTTATTTGAATAAAGAAGTTTGTGAGTGTGTGCATCCTATGATTATGGTTATTTCGGACCTATACGGTCTACTCAAAACGCATAAGCCAAATGTTCAACTGAGGTCAGTTTTGGGTATGAAGGATTCACCGTACCACTCTACTCCACGGCGGTTAGTTGAGATACTTGAGCTCATCCGAAAGCGGATAGCAGCGCACAGCCTAAGGAGTAATTTTGAATTTGTAGATACAGTAAGAGATGTAAACGCCTCGGGTCTGATCATGTGCTCTCTGGATGTCACAGATATTTGGAACAGTAAATAACGTCTGTGAATACGTTGATGGGATCAAGATGAGCATCGGCATGTTCACCGTGGCCCTGAAGAAATTGCTGCTTAGATGCACGCTGAACGTCCAATTTATATCTAACGGGGAGATATACCAGCAGCGATCTGGAATGGCAATGGGTTTCGTACTTGGGCCGGCACTGGCTGATATTTTCATGGGTATGCCTGAACAAGAGAGTTTAAACTCAACCATCGCAAGTTTCAGCTTTGACCGCCGTTATGTTGGTGATATTAGTGATACTTCAGTTCCATCAGAATATCGAAGATACTACCAAAACTTTTAACCGAGACCATGAAGCAATGTATTTTACCGCAAAGGTAAAAGAAAATGTGTGTTTTCACTTTCTTGACATGAACCTAATGCGACTTCATGACGAGATATTACAACGTCACGGAAATAGAAAAGGCAGGTGGAAGGGTCCGTACACCAACCTCTATAGCTTAGCCCCACTGAGGTTGAACTGGAATTTGATTACTAATCTAGTCATTCGAGCAGAAAGAATCTGCTCGCGTGATACGTCTTCAGAAAAACTACAGTGAATATGCACGATGCTGCGGAAAAATGGTTATCCAGACCGCCTCCTGAAATTCCATATGGAGCAGAAGAAGAACACACCAGTGATCTTAACGCCTAACAGAAAAGTAATTTACCTACAACTTCCGTACAAGAGGGAAATCACAATCGAAATTCTTGCTCGTCGTCTCTCGCAAGCTCTCAGACGTAGCTTTCCAGCAACAAGCTTATAGACATACTTCACTAGCACACCGATGGTAGAACTCAGTCTCGTGGATAGCAGGCCTGTCCGCGACAACTTCATGTGCATCTACTCATTCGCCTGTTGCAGTGGAGCTGGATACAATGGTCGTACGAATAGGTGTCTATCCGAGGGAGTGAAAGAACACCGGGCGGTATGGTCAGCGGCGGGAATCAGAATGGTAAGTAGTAGCTGCCCACCTAGCCAACGCAGGGTATAACCCTAAACCGGCTGACGCATACAGAAATATCTACAGGACCCCCGAAAGTCGATCAATGTATACTCGCAGGCGGATGCTAGAAGCTGCTGAGGCTATCGCGAATTGGCTGTCCGTACGGAATCTATGCACTCGGAAGTGATTCATTCACGCGTCATGGCTGCCCTTACGCGATCGACTTGTGACCTTTACTCGGATCGCGTGCAGGACCAGACATCGACCTGAATAATAGCGATTATCGACCTCTTCTAAACAGTAGTCTTACTCTTTTTTGACTACCTCAGTAGTCTCTGATTGATTTGATTTGTATTTAATTGTACTACCCTGAAGAAGAATTATCGAAAACATATATTCTTTTACACTAACTTCTGATTATTCAATGGGCTTCTTTAAAGCTGAAAACATTGTATATTCCATCTATATTGTTACTGGCAACTTGAGTAGAAGGTTAACACTTTTGCTTTTACCAATTTGGTGGAGTTCCCCACTAGACTCGATGCAGCGTAGGACTTTGTTCTCACTAGCGAACGTAACTTGTTTTCCACACAAGGCTTGCTACGCTTGATAGCCCGGGTTACATATTTTAAAGGTATGCCCCATATCCTCCAGTGATGTAGATCTCATATCGCAGGCAAAAGACGATACAGATAGCATATTTGGTCAACTAACTATCGCTAACTTTTAATCGGAGTTTAGTTCAATTGACTTTTCAGACTTATCTAACTCAATGGATGCACCTTACGGGCTGCATAAATTTCTGTTTCGATCTCTGTTGCACCGTTTAGACACCCTGCATACGATTGGCTGGATTTCGATCGCTACTACTCAAACCACTGCAAAGGGAAATCGAACTTAATTTTATATATACTATATATATATATAATCTTTCAGGGGTTAGATGTCGATTGAGCCCCCGGTGTGGTTGCGCCTGATGTTAATCTTAACAAGGTGCTTATCTGTCTATTACCCACCACCTCGTCCATACTGTCTCCAGGAGACAGTTTGTCGTTGCTGGAGGGGGCGGGGTATATGGTCCTCGTGACCGTGCTAGTCTCCAAGAATGTTTCCATGCATTCAGTGTGGAGCGGACTATATATATATATATATATATATATATATATATATATATATATATATATATATATATATATATATATATATATATATATATATATATATATATATATACATAAACCGAGAGAGGATTAAACCACTTGCACATTGAGGTCCACAGCTGTACTATATCTGCAGGTTCTTGAGGCAACTCTGCTAACTATCACTGGTCAGCTCGATTCTGTGAGTGTGGAGAAACTAAATGCATATTTCGTTTCCTCATGGTTTGACACATTTTCCCAACTTCCGTGAGCAGGAATCTTTCCACATTATCCGATCACTCTGGTTTTCAAGGATGCACTGGTAATTTAGCATTTTACTTTCTCAGGCTTTGAATACTTTCCGTATTCTTACTTCAATTTTCAGATATAAAACTGTACATATTCCTCATTGTTTACATTGCTCGCCCGTTATTTTCCTCTGCTTTCCTCAATGGACTATACCCTGTTTGTACTGTCACTGCAATTTATTTCCACATGCTCTGGCTTAAGAATCCCTTATTGGTTTTATTGTTAGGCGGATATGAGACCTCTCACTCACAACACGCTGTTGTTGCCAAAATGGTATCTGTTTCCTTTATGCGTTTACAAACAAAATTCTCATCTTTTCATACCCCACTGTATCGTAATTCCGTCTTAGTAAATCTGTCACACTTACTAGTCAATCCAATCAGAGTGGTGCACACGTTGCATACGATCGCATGCTCGAGTAAACATGCACTTTATCTTCGCTTCCCTTGCCAATTTGTGTTTTCACTATGCCATATTTTAGTGCATGTACGATGATAGTATAACGCCCCGAAAACACACCTACATGGATGTATACTGCTTACTTTGGGCTTGAATTGATCTGTTTTGTCATCACTGACTGCTGATCGCCGTATTGCTTTTTCCTAATGAAGATCTCTCCGATTGGATTGAATTTTTCGCTTCTGCGGGCGTGCCTGCAAATGTTCGAAAAACATATGCCCAAATCTTCGTAGACCACCGCATAACGGACGCAGTCGTTGCTGACCTGGATAAGGATCACTTAAAGGACATGGGCATCGTTGTGGTCGGAGACGTGATTGCTATCCTGAAGCGGTGCAAGAAAGTTGGTCATGAGGTAGTTTGCATCGGTTTTGTACATATCTAAACTCCCCGCTAGGATCCTTCCACTGTCGTCCCCACGGTAACATCTACAACACCTAGGTTAGAAAAGCAGTTGGATTCATCATCCCCTTTCAATTCAACGCCCCTCGCAACCCCGCCAGCATCTTCGCATCGTCGCCGTATGAATCCAGAAATTGAAGGCAAATATGTCGTCAAACAACCAGTTGGAACCACTGCAAAGACACAACATATTCTTGCAGCTATGAAGCAGCGAGGTTGGTCTGTGATTCGCATACACGCGTGTTCTGTTCCTACATGACTCTTCTAAAGTGTGGATTCAGTCAATCGGTTTTTTGATTTCATGCTCTGCTGGTAATCAATAAACCTTGGTTAATGCGATGTAATCATTCCCTGATGATCGCTGGCAGGAATGGACAGTTGCAGCAGCTTCATCTTTCCAGATCCTCCTGAGGTTATTATCTGTCTAGAGCCGCACCCATGTGCTAACCCGGTTACAGCTTTACTCGGATGATTTTTGTATTGTTTATCTTTCCGTCTGGAATTGCTCAGATCGTGTCTCTAGTTCTTCTAGCCATGGGTAATAGGTTTGCGTTGAGTTCAACCTGGAAGGCTGCACGGACTAAAAACCCAATCTAGCGGTCGGTGGCTTCACTCACTGCAGTCTAGTCGATGGCTGTTTCCCTTCCCTTATTCTGTCCTGCATTTGGTCAACAACCAGAGGCATTGCAAGCAGCAAACTGTCAGCAGCACACCGGCACCTCCTACCAACACTTGGCCACTGCGCGTATCCCATTGATTGCTTGCGGGCTGGGCTATTACGAGGTCACTGGCACTGGTCTACTTGTTCATAATTGACTGCACTTCATCACGATTGGTGTACGAATGATCTGCCTTGCATATTCCATAGCAACTGTCATTGGCTTTCACAAGCGAATACAATGATAGAGCTTTTGTAAAACCAAACAGAAATTAGGAAGTAGGTCAGCCCTGATGAGCTGCTGAGACGGTTTCCGTTAGTCCACTGTTTATTCCACTGCAACGGGAGGATTTCGTATGTACGGCACCTATATGTAGCCACCTAGGTACTACAAGGCGAGACAATCGACTGCACTTGGCGGACTCTTAAGGTCAGCTAACGATTAATTGGCTTACTCTGCGTGCGACACTATTTCAGCACTCGGCTTAGGGTGATAAGTTTATTTATGTTGCCACGGTTTGATTTAAAACTTGTCATCTGCGGTCCGCGTTCTTCAACGAGACAACGGAGTAGCATGTACTTCTTGACTATTACCATTCTGATGGATTCCCCACTCGTTGACTGGAGCGGTCTTTTGTTGCCACATGTGTTAAAACGAAAAATCAATTCGTATGAACACATCCCTCTTTGAATACCTAGAATACCAAGGAATCCAGACTCGTGGCGGTTGAGCGATTCATGGTTAAGAACTCGTTTCGAGCTTCAACTTCAAATTGAGCTTTTAGGTTCAGTCGCCATATTTCGGTCCGCATCGCCAATGCGCGAATCAGCTCAAAGGTAGCCGTTCTCGGTTCTTTTTGAGGATTACGTTATGTTCGTCAACTTTTAGCATGTCCTGTACCGGTGCTGCAACGGCTAATTACGTCGCAACCAGATGCTTTGTCACTATGCGTAGCAGCTGAATTTCTTCGCCTAAACTCGATGCTCTCCGAACTAGAAGTCGAGGGCTTCTTCTGCGGGATATCTTAGTAGACTTGCTTGGCCGTGAGATGCTACTACTTTTCGGTCGCCAGCTATGCAGATCGTTTTGACGCTTCCCGATTTACGTTAACGAATCGGAAATGGTCTACAACGTAATTGTTATAAAGGCACATGTTCCAAAAGTGTAGTAGATTAAATCACTTAAGTCGTTGGTGGCTTCATTTAGCTGGATTCATTGCTTTCCCAATGCCTAGGGCTACCAGGCAGCAGTACATCGGTGTCCATTGTATCTGAGAGCAGAACCGCTTAGAAACGACCGATATTCAACGCGTAGCTATGGTCTAACACATCTAGGAGCACGGAGAGCCTACTTGCGCCTTCCTATCCTGGACAACTGGTACTACATATGAGCTGGTCGTACTACGTAGTAGCAGACATTTTCATAAACGTGCTGACTACGGTCGGTTATAAGGTATAATGTAACAACGAACAAACGGTGTCTAGGATTACTTTACACCCTGACCTTGGTGGACGATGCCGTAAGTTTACACACAGTCGACTGTTCGCTAAACTCCATTCTACCAGCGTGATTTCTCTTGAGGTCGATGGTGTCAATCCACGGAGCGATAATCATGATATCACGCCGTCAAACAACCCGTAAATCTCGTGCTCTTCGTCGCTCGAGCTGAGTTCACCGTTCACAATCTACTGGCTTGTTTTGACTGCTTAAGCAGAGGAGGTCATCAAAATTTATCCAACTTGTAAGCAGGAGCTTGAGGCGGTGTGTTCCTGATCTCTGGCCACTTGTTTGGTTTATTTTTTTGGATTTATTAGTAATGTATGACCAGACGCGGTTTTATGAGGCACTTAACTTATAGCATCGCGTAACGTTCTCATCCCGTCTCGAGATTTCCACATCAGTGGGACAATGGAACTTTAGTGACCATAATTTTCTCCAGTTACTGGCTTCATCTGGGTTATAAACTGCATTACATCGAGCTTTCTCGTTGTTCTGCACCTTCTTGTTGTGGCGTTACTCTGTGTATACGTTTTCATTCGCACTCAGTTAGCAACTACGAACGGGTTGAAGCGCTATCCACTTCGGGTCAATGAATCAGCAGTTAAACGTAGTAGCTGGAATTGGGGAGCTTAATCTATCCATGAACTTTTTGTTTGGTGACAATCGCCCTTCTCGCCGATTATCGCATCCGTATCATTGTACAACTCCGTAGACACGGGAGGCACTAATGCGACTCATTCCGTCACCATTTTTTCCTTGTCGTCGGACCACTAGTGAACCTCTCTCAATCCGACGCGTTTCCCGTGAACATGACCCACTGAGCCGGACTTTTTGAATGCTTCCAAGTAGGACGATTGGATTGCCGTGGGTTGTCCAGTTTTTTCATGCAGCTCAGCGGAATGTCAGCATGTTTGCTTCAATTCTGAAGTACGGACATTATCTAACCATTGACAGGTGGTCTTGGGTCTACCTACCTGCAATACTCGATTCGAAGAATCGTTGGTTTACTATGCCCTCAACTAACTAGCTCCTCTTGTGACCTCTCCATGCTCCAATACTCCGCACTATCTATCTGTCTGCCGATGACCCATGATTCACTTCTTCTGAGTAGTACATCCTTATTGTCATTTTATTTTTGATCATCAGACCCTATGTCAGTTTTCGTCCCTCCACGCACTAGGAGGTACAATGTGTGCACATCTGCCCGCGCATCCACATTAGTGTCTTACCTCTTCCCCTTGCATTTCCAATCCATTTAGCGACGACAACTTCGAAATTCAAGGCCGTACAAGCTGCACCGGAGAAAAATGCCACAGATACTGAGAAGCTGACTTCTTCGACCACCTTCGGGGACAGCGATGTGGATGATTCGGATGGGTACCGCGTGATTCTTTCCAGGTATTTGACTTGCCTACATTTTCTTTCCGTATTATGATGGTACTTCACATAGCGATCCCAATTTCGCACATACCACGTTCCCCTACATGCTAGTTGTATATCTGTGTTTGCCATGCAACCGTGAGGAATGATGCGGCTCCTGATCTCGCTCTGAGTTCATTCGTCAAAGTAATGCCCGAACGAGAAAACTGGCCCGGCCACGAGTGGGCTGATCAACCTGTTCCACCGTTAGCATCCTGTCCAACTAGACCTTCAGTTGCAAATATTTGGTTTCCGTCGGGGTTTATCTTGTGTTGTGTCCACCAGTTTCTGGGAGGCCAATCTGACCGGGCATACGTTACTCGGCAGCCATGACAGTCAGCGTTAGTGCGCTGCTTAGACACAAGGTTGTCGCCGCATTCTCGTCTATCTGCGTTGTCCACTTACCATCCCCATTTCATCGTTGGTTTTTCATACTAATTCCCATTGTTTCCATTCGATAATACTCTGCACATCATCCGTTTTGTCTACCGTTCCATGTTTAGCTTCTGCCGCCACGTTCCTCTGCTCATACTTTTTTAGTTCTCCTTGTTGTAGCCACAGGAGTTGCGAATTTTGTCATCCAACAAGTTACCTTGTGTCCTATTTCTAAGCACCACTCTTGATGTTTGTCTTTCGGGCCAACGTTGACCCACCGATGCATGCGTTTGGCCACACTGTTTATTCATTGTGCTTTTTCTTTTTTTGCGTACAGGAAGCAAAAAGCTACCGCACCGACTCTACCATCAGTTTTCGACCGTCTTGGCGGAGTATGCAGTGCATCACTTAGCTCACCCCACAACTCCGCCGGTATCGCTGATCGTTTAATTCGTCGAAATCTCAGTCCTCCGTCAAGCACTAATTCTCGTCCTCTCGTCTCTACTCCTGGCGTTGAAGAACACCCGAGGCGAGCATCCACTTTGACTGCCCATCGTATTGGTTTCACAGCGAAGCGCACGCCTTCGTCCGGTACTGCTTCCGCGCTCGCTGTAAGCAAGGTTGCTCAGAAGCGTCAGGTACACTTTGGTTCTGATGTTTCCTCTTTTTTGTTGTCCGCTTATTAGGTCTTGTACACGGACCGTCCAAGTCACCAATCCGCAACATCGGGTTTGGTCACCACGACTCCATCAGGCGAGTATCGAACTAATGGCCGCGATAGGGAAACTTTCAGATCGCCTGAACTCTCGATTGTATTATGTCCAAGCACGTGCCTTCGCCGATCTTTGGTTACAGAGTGCCGAAGCCGATAAATCAACAGGCTTCGTGACGACACCAATCACTTGCATCGCCAACGCATGCTAGATGGGCTAAAAGTTTATGTCTGCTTCGAACAAGTTTATATATTGGAGTTTGTATATTGGAGCGGATTACTTCCATCATAATCGTTCCTCTAGCCTCTCATGGTTACACAACGCCGGAAAAATGACCATCGTTTGATGGGATATTGCTCCACTGTCAAAACGAATTGTTGCCAGCGGTCGAAAATTCGCAGTTGTTCTCACCAACGCGTTTTTCATTTAAACGTATTTTGCGCGGCAGTGAAACCTGGTTTATAGCACAACTGATGTTATTTTCTTCACTGATGTCAACTCTAGTTTTTCTTTCGTCACCCTATTCCTCAGTTTTTGATTCTCCGTTCAGCTGCAGTATTTCGATAAAACGGTTGTCAACTCAGTCTAACTAGCAGAATCTGCGACTGAAAACTTCATTGCGTGTACTCTCTAAGCGACGTTCCTGATACCCTTCATATGCTGTAGTACAGTCTCCAATTTCTTTTTTTCAGGGCAGCGATTCTGTGTTCACTCGTTTAAGTGAACATATTCACCCGAGTGCAAAACTTAGTGATATTGGACACGCAACCCAACATTCTACAGAGTCTTTGAGTTATGCGGGTATTTTGAAGCGCCAGCGAAAACAGCCACTGCAGACGTTCGAGGAGGCCTCTGTTTTCAGACCCATGCCTATCACTTACAGTGAAGGTGTCCTCAGTGGCACTCCCTCTACAATATCGCCACAGAAATTTTCACGAACAGTTCCTGTGAAAAATCGTTTGGGTAAGCCGGAATGGTTCTTCGTTTACGTCCACATTCTCTAATAACTATCACGTCACTCCTTATGTGTATCGGTATCGATCAATCGATGCCGTCAAGATTGACGAGTAGTTGAAGCACTTTTCCACACCGCAGTCCGGACTCTGGAGTTCGGTTAGGGCGGTGCACGCGGTATTCGATAAAAACACCTGGTCGTTTCATACGCAGAAGCGAAGCGCGCCGCTAATGCGGACACTTGCTCAGTGCTAAATTTTAGATGCTGTCCGTCCGCTCCCTCTATCACTGATAGGTCACCTATCGGTTTCAGGCGCCGCTTCACGTGTGCAAAGATTTTCTTCAAAACGGTTTTTGCTGCTGTTGTAAGCTACTTTACGAAATTTGGACACTCGCTCATTTTCGCATTGCTGCAAATGTTTCGCTGCTTTTTTTTACACCCCTTAGTCGTCCACCGAGTCCCAGATAAAGAATTTGTCCCACAATCTGCGCCGCCGCCTAGTAAGCTTACCACACTCGTTATCGAATCAATGTGGCTTGATCAGTCCGATTTTTCAGCACTTGAGAGGCACAACGCAGTTACAAAATGAGCTAACTCTGTCCTTTATAAATAACCAGCAAGCTCCAACGGATGCATATTACGGCTCGTGTTTGCGATCAAACTGTCGACCTCCGTTTTCCAGTAGTTGTAATCGGGCTGCAGCGGCAAATCTATTTTGACAATGAGAACTATGTGGTTACTTGATACCAGAGGCTCCAGGATCCGAATGTCATACACTGGTTTTTCACTGCTGGCTGATATCAGGTCTAAGCACGATAGAGTTGAGCGTGGTGTCATGCGCATCGGTTGGCCGATGTATTGTGCTGCCCCAGTTTCAAGTACTATATCAGCGAACTTTGCTTTGGCCTCACGATAACCAGTGGTAAGCTCAAATTCACGCCAGCGTATTCGAGGAAAAATAAAATCGCCCATAACTTAAAAATGAGTGTGACTCATGCGGTTTTGGAGATGTGATAAGCAATCCAAATAACGGCTCAGGGGACTGAGATAGAATGTACCCACGAGCAGCTCTCTGCGCCTGAGGTGGATCTAGCACCACATCTTCTCACATAGACAACCTTCGCTTCGGTGGGCTCTCACGAGTCCCACGCAGAGAAGACCAGAGCAAGAGGCCACCGCGAGCAGTCGATAGCCTAACACTTCGGAAGTACGAGTAGTCACTAAGCTCTACCGTCCAACCACAGCTCTGCGAGTCCCATTACACCTAGTCGCTCAAAACGGCGCAGCTCATCGCGCTTGTTCATAGGACTGCATAGGTTGGTAAAGGCTACACTCAAGTCGCGGTAGGAACTATCAGGCGTGCCTGAAGAGTGAGCGATCGAATTATCCGGATTCGCGGTCTTGTTGTAACTACCCGAAAATTTACGATACGGAGGTTTGTTTTTCCCTCACCAATTTGGTGCTTTAGCTCGATTCTAGCACACTTGAGGCGCTCCCGGTCAGTTGGATCGATGTCCGGACGAATATGCACCCTATCGCCTCTCAATCTACCCAACCGAGACAGTAGTAGCTTCGGAAAAGTTTCCTCGGCGGAAGTTACCTGCTTTGGCCGGTCCTTCTCAGTAGTGCTTTTGCCGAGGCGGATGACTTGCCTCACTTTCACTCCGTCCTCACTCACCTCAAGGAGCCTATCAGACAAGCTCTGTAAAAAGTCAAAATCATTATTATAGCGTGCCTGAGGGTTTGCATCGTTAGACACAAGCGCGTGAAAAGCATCAGATTTGATCGCCTGCTGGAGGAGTGTATCCTCGGGCCTTACTTGAGCTGGCTTGTTGTTCATCAGCAGCAGGAAGCTTCTCTTCGTATCGCGGCATCTTCCGTAGTTATATATTCAACATAACCAACAGTACAATTGACATAGTGTCACGTGTGGAAAATACAAATAAACAAAATGAGAGGGAAAAATAAATAGTGTTCATAGGAATAGAGAGTCACAAGTTTGCCATTGCGCACGGTTTCTTGCCTTATCCGAGAGTGTTTCCAGCATGCGTGTTCCGGATCCTTCACACTCCAGCCAGGGAGCCGATAAGGCCCGATCGCGGATAACTTTGACGTTAGCTCCTTCATGCTCCTGGCCCAAGTCATTCGTTGGCCACCTTGCTTTCGCTTCCAGCCGCCTTCTGCGCGTGCGAAGAGTTCACGGCGAGGTAAGCGATGAGTAGGCATGCGAAGAACATGCCCAAGCCACTGAAGTCTGCGCAGAGAAATTATGCTGCTCAGTGGCCGGCAAAGTTTGTCTGATCTGAAAATCCTCCGTCAAACATCATTACTAGTGTGATGTTGCCATCGTACACCAGCAATGCTCCGAAAACAACGGTGATCAAAAATAGACAGTCTCTCAACATTCTTTGCGCGAACAGACCGTCTCGCAGCCATAGAGCAGAACCGCTCTCACTGTGACATTGTAAACTCAGTCCTTCAGAGATAGACTCAGGTCGCCTCGACGCCAGAGATGGCACAGATTGGCAAATGCAACCCGAGCCTTGGAGATTCGCAAAGAAGCCTCATCCGTTAAACCATTGGCGCTGAGACAGTTTCCGAGGTAACCGAAGTTGTCCACCACTTCCAGTGAATGACATAGAAGGATAAGGGTAGGAGCAGCGCCTAGCCACTCCTGCAGGAAAACCTTGCACTTCGATTGTGCGAAGATCATTCCAAACTGGGATACAGACCTCCAACTTACCCAGGACATTTTGGGTGGCCTGTGAGGAATCGCAGATTACGGCGATGTCGTCTGCACACTCCAAATCCCGAAGTCGGTCCTCCGGAGGCAGCTCGATGCCGCTGGGTTCCCAGTTCTCTAGAGCACTCTCTAAGGTTTCGTTCATAGCGAACTTAAACAAGAAGGAGATGCTGAGCAACCCTGTCTCACGCCACTGATGGTACCAAAGGGGGGCCGAAGTCCGTCGTGCACCCGCACTCGGCCCCAGATTTGAAAGTAGATGGTTTGAGGTAAAGTGACATACTTCTCGGGCACTCCGCTTTTCAGTAGACAATTCCAGAGAGCGACTCTGTCGACTGAGTCATATGTCTAAGAAGACAACGATCGTTGGCCGGCCAAATGCTTGACGACACTCGCGTATTTGGCGGAGTCTGACGATGGGATCGATGCAACTCCGACCTGAGCGGAACTCAGCTTGTTCTACACGTATTCTCCGTTCGCTAACCAGGCTGAGCCTCCTTAAAAGCAGTGCGGCGAACAGATTGGAAGCAACACAAATGAGACTAATTCCTCCGTGGTTGATGCAGTCAGTTCGGGTATCCTTTTTGAAGACGGGCACGATGTCCGCTAGGTTCCAATCAGATGGGATAACTTCAGGGACGCAGATCTCTTAGAAAGGAGAAGTTAACTCTTGAACAAGGGATGGGTCGCTATCTTTGGGAAGAGCCGGAGGGAGTTCATCTGCGCCAGGGGCTTCGTAGCGCTTTAAGAGTTGAAGCTCGTGGACAACCTCAGCCATGGTTCGTGGTGAAGCATCTACACACCAGGGAGCGCTCTGGATTCCAGAGTGGAAACTCATGGGTGCTGCTGGCCAATTAAACTGCTGCTCAGAATGCTCGGCCCAACGCTCGAGTCGTCGTTTTTGACAGTGGACTGGCTCGCCATTGGTTTCGCATAAAACTTCGGTTACAGTCGGCCTTTGCCACCAGTAGATCGGATCAGGATGAAAAGCTTACGGAAATTCCCCGAGGTGGCCGGTTACTCCATTACATTGACCCCTCGCGACCTTCCCAGAAAAGTTATTTGAGATCAGCATTAGTAGTCTTGCGTAGTAGTATTTAACGCTAGCAGGAATTACTTGACGGGCTTCGAGAAATTGGAGGAATCGTACAGAGATCCAGTGGTTGACAGGACTACTGGTGAAGCCACAGATCATGGTTGCGGGGTTGTACAAGGCGTCGCGAATTTGTGTCTAGTGTGTTTCAATGTCTGTGTATGAAGCAGTCTTCAGCCTTGAGGCCAAGGCATCCTGAAATGCGCAGAGAACGTTCGGCGAAGTAAGCTTATCTACGTCAGGCCGTTTCTAGCGACACTGTTGGAATCCACCAGAACGTAGCGCGACCTTGGTACACACCAGCGCGTGATCCGAAGTGGGGTAGGTACTCCAGATTGATTTGCAATCCTGTATACAGCCCCGCCAGCGATAGCTAATGGTAATGTGGTTAATTTGTGTCCACGGCTGGCCAGTTGATGGGGTCTCCAGGTGGCACATTAGCGCTAGGATCCCCGAAAGCTAGTACTCAACAAAAAGAGGTCGTGATCGGCGCAAAACTGAAGTAGGCGATCACCATTGTCTGTTCTGCGTGTCCCATGACCGTGGTGACCACCGAATTCACTTTCGTCAACTTCAAGTTTACCGATTTGCGCGTTGAAGTCCCTGGCTCACACCACGAGGTCGGTACGGCGCTTCTTACGGAGAAGGTCGGTCAGTTGACCATAGAACTCGTCCTTAACTGACTCCGGGCTGCAGTCTGTGGAAGCGTACGCTGCGACAATGAATAGACAGCGTCTGCTGGCTTCGCGCCTAGACAGTCACACTGATGTTTCAAGTCGGATCGCGCAGTCAGTCCACTGTTGACAGGGATCCAGTCTAGTAGCGCGGCCTCAGCACGTGTGCTCTACGCATTCCGTACGCCAGCATAACCATCGGCTTCGACGGTTGAGTCTCCAGATAGGCGCAAAGTGAAAATGCCAGTGGAATTCGCAGACGGTGAACCTAGTCGCATCGTGATGCTAGAGTCCGGTAAACGGGTTTCGCTGAGACAGCAGGCATCAATGGCCATAGTTTCTAGTGCGAGCAAGAGCTGCCTGTGATCCATTCTGCATCAGCGTCCGAACATTGAAGCTTGCCAGCTTGAATTGGGAACGGGGCGCTAAAAATAGCTTGTCAACACGACTTGGCACATCCTCGGACCTAGGCTCCCGATTTGTATAGCGAGAACGTTCGCTCAAGGCGGCACGGTGTTTTGAACTCGAATACAGAGGGG